TAGGGTCGGAGCTGGGAAAGCCAGGGGCCGGGGGATGGGGAGGTGGGGGGGTGCGGAAGGCAACCGTCGCCTCCCCCAAGGCAGGGACGAGAGTGATTCCAAGTGCTACCCTCAATATTTTTGGTCACACAAGCCCAGGAATCCCAGATACCGCACCCAAATCCAGGCTGGGGGTGGGGTGAGGTCGGCGAGGGTCGCAGTCCAGACTCCTCACACCAGGAGGTGCCAGAGGAGGGCTTGCCTTCCTAAGGCCCAGGAGGCAGGAGGGAAGAGGGCGAGAGCGCAAAGCCCGGCGTCAGGCTCCTCGGCATGTCGCAGCGGCGACCTTCCTCCTGGGTCGCCCCGTTCGGTCTGGGCGCCGGGAAAAGGAGACTCCCGCCAACATTTCCCAGTTCCCGAGGTTGAAGGCAGGGCAGCACCGAGGAGGAGAGGGAGCAGAGGCAGCGTGGTTCAGGCGGGCAGGAAGCGTGGAGGCGGGTGTGAGGTGGGGTCCAGAAACTGGACGGGAGCCGGACAACTGGAGTTGCACACGCTTGGAAGGCGGGGAGAGGACGAGGAGAGGGTTGCTTTGGGGGTGAGGAGTTAGGAGACTACCGTGGGCCGCGATGTTACGAGACGCGCAAGGATGTTAGCAACTTTGGGCACCTAACTGTGGATCCGGGAATGAAAGTGGGGAAGGGCGCTCTGCGGGGCGGGCCGGGGGTGGGACAGGGGAAGAGCCCCGGAAGCAGTGCGGAACACCCATCCTCTGGGTCCTCGGCGATGACCCGGACTATATGCCAGAGTTTGGAGACAGGACAAGAGGCCGGCCCAAGGCTACCGGCGATGCGAACGACAGCGGCCCCAAGGCGGGCCCAGGCTGCCCTTGTGCAGAAGAACTGAGGAGGGGGCTGGATGCGCGCTGCGCTCCGGCGTGTGAGCCCGGGCAGAGTCCCAGCCAGTGCAGTGATGGGCGGAGAGACTCGCGGTCCTGAGAAGTATTATGGGCTGTACTGAGAGATTTGGAGAGGGTCGGGGCGGGGGGGAAGCAATCTGAGGGATTCCGGGCGGCACCGCTAAGGCAATGTGGCCAGCAGCATCCGCGCCTTCTCCTTCCCGCCCCAGCCCGGGTTTGTTCAGTCAGAGCTTCAACACAGCCGCTGGGAAGAAGAAAGGAAAAGAGAAGGAGCCTTTACCTGGCTCTGACGCGACGGTCCCTGGCCCCCGGCTCCGCTTCCCACTCTGAGCTCTCCTCCCCTCTCTTCCCCGCCACCCGATTCTACGCAGATAAGTCCCCCAGTCCCCTGAGGAGCCTCCGCCAACTCCGCAGGACCCCGCCGGGAAGCAAAACCCACCCCCTTGCCAATCACCACCCGTTTTCTATCGACCGATGGGGCCTATAGCCAATAGAAATAGCTGATCCCGAGAGGCCAGGAATGAGAGGGAGGAGCTAGAAAAACTTGGAGGTGTGGCTAGCACTGTTGAGGCGTGGTCAGAGAGTGAGCTCCACCCCCGCTGTCGAACCCTACAGTAGAGCTGGTGGGCGGGATTAAGATGGACCCATACCCAAACACAAACTCCTGAGAGAAGGCACGACCAATTAGATTGGGATAGAGAGGAGGGGCGTTGCGGAGAATTTTAGCCAGTAGGGAGTAGAGACCGGCGGGGATTGTAGAACATCTTCCAATAAGAAACGTGGGGGGCTGTGCCTTGCCATTTTAACTGGGTCAGGGGCGGAGACCTAGCCCAAACCTCCAGAAACTGGCCAATGAGAGTAGAGGCGGGGCCAAAGGCAGCCCAAAAGAAAGGCCAGGCGATCTCCGGCCC